CACAGTACATCCTAGCAAAAGCACATGGCAGAGGAAGCAGGCTCATCTCATAGCATCCAGGAAGCAAAGAGAGAGCAGAGGGGCTGAGGTTCCTAGATCATCCCCTTCAAGGGGACCACAAAGACCCATCTTCCTTCCACTAGGCCGCCTCTGTTTAAGGTTACACCTCTTCCCAACAGCACCACAGGTTGGGGCCAAAGTCTTTGATATGTGGACCTTTGCAACATTTAAGATCCACACCACAGCAGTGTCTCTCAAAGAAAGAAACAAATTATGAGAGTAGGAAGAGCCCATGGGAGGTGCTGAGGCACTGATGCCAGAGGGTCCTGAGGAAAGATGAATCAGTTCAGTTGGCTGACTGGGGTAGTGGAGGGCTGGTGCTACTGACAGAGAAACACATCGTTCTCCAGATCCTGGAAATTCTGAATGGTGGGAATCACTTCTTTTTCACTAACCTTGCTTGATTTCGAATTCACGACTTTCTTGGCCATCTCGAGGGTCTCTAGAGATACCCAGGTGAGCTCAGAGGCAGGTGGTGGCTCTTATCTTGCCCTCATTCTGGTATAAACTTAGTTCTGGGTCCCTTTGATTCTAGAGATTAAGACAAACCATGGGCATTTCTGCTCACAAACTCAAGCTGGTGCAGAAGACATTGCCATTTATATCTTAGTGTTCAGAGGAAAGGCTTATTTAAAAGCAAAACTCTTCTGAATGTGGATTGGAAATTCAGAGACCTAATCCAGTGAGCACATTATAACAGTGAAGATGTGCAGCCATGAGAGAAGTATATTTATCAGTGCTTCACATGTGGAACCGGGATGTGCTCAGATCCGACAATGCCTGCTGGTCCTCCTCCTCTATCCTTTCTGAAGAAATCGGGCACAGAACAGAAGCCAAGACTAAAGTTCAAAATGTGCTTCTACCTGGTACTTCCACACAATGGCATCTGGACACATAGCACACTCATCCATTCTACTCTGGTGCAGGAAGCAAATCTGAGGCCACAGAAGTTGAACTTAGGGCAGAAGAGGGTCTTCTCACTCCCACCTCCAAACCCATGACTTCAGAAGCACGGCCTCAATCCAGAACCCGAGCTTCCTCCACACAAGTAGGATAAATAGCTCTGATGGTGGGGGGCATCCACAGAATAGGGGGAAATAGAATAAGGCATAAATAGAAACACTCACAGGTCACCTCCTCTAGGGTCCCAGGAGCTCCTGGTGAATGAGTCTTGGCTCAGCATGCACCTGATATTTATGCCTGCCTTGTAACTCCAGCCACCCATTTCCAGTTTCCTGCGAATTCCCTTGAAGAAGTGGAATAATTTTCTTCTTTGTTGACTCACTCTTACACCACCTGTCCACTGGACAGCTGCCACTGCTGTATGTGCTTACCAGTTGTGCTCTGATTAACTGTCCCCTTAGAGCTCATGAATGCTCTCTGTGCATGGTCACATCTGTACCTTCCCTGTAACCCTGTGAGATAAGCAGCGTCACCAGCATCTGTGTTTTCTAAATGTCCAGAGATCTGTTTTCAGAGACCAGGGCATTGAACAAAGGCCTACGATTGCAAAAACAATGCATGTCCATCTATCTTGAGAGCTAGGGCCTACCCTCCTGTGTGCACTGGTTATTTTCCTTTTCATCTCAACAGCAACTGCCCAGATATTGTGAAAGAACTGCTTGGTTTATCCAGGTAGGAGTGGGCAGGCTAAGGGGCAGCAGGGGCAATAACTGGTGGGGGCAGTGTTTAGGGGAGCTGCCCTGGGGAGGAGTCACTCATCTGTATCCCACTCTAGGATTCAGAGAGTCCTTCACATCCTTTTTGTGAATCAGACTTCTCCTTGCAGGCTTCAGCTTTGCTTTTGAAGTCTCATCTCTCTATCTCATTAGATAGGGTTTGCTTTGTTCATTGGCCTACTTTGAATCCCTGAGCTCTTGCTCTTCTGCTAATACCCCTCTCCAGCCAGCCCTTGACTTTTCCCTGCCTGTACAGCACCTTCCATCCACTTGTGATTGCCTGCTGCTTCTAGATTCTTTGCCTAGCTCCATGTGCCACAAAACTCACATCTACAACCCTTCCCTTGCTCTACTCCATTAGTGGGTTGACTTGCTTCTAGTTTTCCACACTGCTGATATCATCTTGCATGTTACAGAACATTTAATGCCTAACCTCCTCATATGGCAGGGCAAGATCTGTTTCTCCAATTGCTTTTTTTTTTTAAAGCAGGATTCCAAGCAAAGCTACTTGTACTTCTGGTAGCAGAGCTGTTCTACTATTGACACATAGCTATTCTCATCCTAGCATATTCATATTTTTTCTTGAACTGTGGATCAGCATGGTGGTTACCTTGAGCTACTGCTTACTCTCCCCACAAAGACTAGTTTTCAAATTCTGTTCTGATGGCTGGACTAATCTTTAATTGTGGTGACTTATTTTTAGGAGCCCTGAACTTTGTCTTTTATTTATTTATTTTTTGATCAGGGATCTCACTCCACTTCCTCTTAGCTAGTGAAATAGGTTTTCGTAACGTTCTGGTGTAACAGAAAATGGGCCCCGCAGAGAAGCAAGATGATAAAGATGTTTCCACCAGTTTACTTCAGTTTCTGATTACTTAGTTAAGTAAGATGGTAAACTGTTTCCACCAGTTTACTACAGGTTCTGTTTACTTAGTTAAGCTTTTCTGTTTCTAAGAAAAGGTTGAACTTGTGAGATACATTGTAAGACGCAAGCCCCAAATGATGAGCCACTCTGCTTCTATACCTCCACTTCTGCAACCCCATGAAAACCTCACTCCCTGAGCCATGGGTGCCTGATCGTTTTGGAAATGATTCTAGCTAAATCCATGGGCATCATAAAGTTTATTCTTATTTTTTTTGAAAAAGTAATGTTTATTAAAAGCAAGTATTAATCTTTTATTATCTGTCCAATTTTACATATCTGTGTCTGTTAATCTGAGCAATAGATTTGATGATAAAAATACATAATATAGCAACT